CTTTCCCTCTCTGGTCAAATTTAAATAAATAAATAAATAAATAAAGTTAAATAAAATAATTATTAAGAAAAAAAATGCCAGACACCAACTCTGGAAAAAAAAAAAAAGGCAATAAAAAGCAAATCCGGGGACCAGCAGTTGGCATAATGGCTGTGTCGCTGGACTCCCACATAGTCGACTGCGGTTCGAGCCCCGGACCCAGTGGCTTAAACTCATGCTGGGCGCGTGTGCGTGCGTGCCCAAGATCCCAAGAGGAGAACGGAGGAGAAGGGATTGTGGCCATCCCCTCTGGGGGGTGATTTCTCGCTTTCTATCTCTCTGTCTCTCTCTGTCTGACTGGCAAGCACATGCGCCCTATAGCAAAATCCTCTCTAAAAAAAGAAAAGAAAAAAAAAAAAAGCAAATCCATCAATCTACTACCTTTTTTGTAAATGTCCAACTATTTTTCACTGAATTCCTACTTGACTCTTGAAAATTACATATTCAAGTCCATTTAAAAATTCAAGCCAGACTATGGTTTTTTCGGTCTGGGTTTCTGATCTCCCTGCACTCCCAGATTACCTGAATTTATTTATTTAAGAATTAATTGAATAACTAAGAAAAAACAAGTAGGTTACATTTTATTAGTGGACATAGAAAAACCAAACTATAAAAAGGACTTAAGACAATCACATATGTACGACATTTGTTCTCTATAGGAGTCACCTGCTTTTATAACAAGTGTTAAAATCTAAAGTGGATTCTAACTGAAATGTTCTAGGTGAAATCCTAACATAAATTTCAGTTGTTTTGAAACTGTAAACATGCAAGTAGTCTGTGTGTGTGCGTTTGTGTGCATAAAATGCATAATCTATAAAGTTCACTTGTGTATGGATACCTATGTAAGTAAATTAATCCAAATTTCATAAAAAAGTAAAATTTCTAAAGTGCTTAAGACCATATGATGTACGTACACTGTTTCTGCAAAACTCTGAAATAAATTAAGTACTGTGTCTAATCCTGAAATTTCCTTTTTCTTGCTTTCTTTTTGTTTTTGCCACAGGGCATGTGCACTCGCTGGAGAGAGTCAAAGAGAGACAGAGGAGAAAGAAAGTGAGAAATCACCTCCCTCCCCTTCCCCTGTAGGAGATGGCCATGTCACAATCCCTTCTCCATTCTTCTCTAGGGATTTTGGGTAGGCACGCACATACCCACACAATACCTGGTGTTTATTTCTTCTTCTTCTTTTTTCTTTTTTTAAGTTTTTTTGCCACAGGGTGTGTATACTCACTGGAGAGAGAGAGGGGGCGGGGGCAAGTGAGAAATCAACCCCCAAGGGATGGCCATGCTGCACTCCCTTCTCCTCCATTCTCTTGGGATTTGGGGAATGCACATACATGCTCCTGGTGTGATTTTCAAGTTGTTGTTGACCATGTGGGAGTCTAGCACTTTAACTACTGTTGTTGACTATGTGGGAGTCCAACACTTTAACTACTACTCCACCTGCTGGACCTAACCTGCATGATTTTCAAGCTATCCAGGTCTGGGACTCAAACCATGGTAGGCCATATGGGAATTCAGTGCCTTAACTACCACACCACCTGCTGGCCCAGACATTTTCTTTTCTTTTTTTTTCTTTTTCTTTTTTTTTTTTTTGAGAGATTTTTGCCATAGGGCGTGTGTGCTCACCAGAAAGACAAAGAGAAAGCGAGAAAACACCCCCATAAGATGGCCACATCGCAATCCCTTCTCCTCCATTCTCCTCTTGGGATCTTGGGCACGCACACACACATGTGCCCGGCATTGAGTTTAAGCCAGCGGGTCTGGTACTCAAACTGCAGTCGACTACATGGGAGTCCAGCGACATAGCTATTATGCCAACAGCTGGTCCCAATATTTTCTTTTTAAACTACGTGTCTGTATTGATTATTACATCGCCAATGCTTGAAATTAAAAGACTGTGAAAGGGTAACAATCCTTTTTCTTTAGGATAACCTGAAGCCATTCCTTTTGCAATGCTTGCTCAAAAATAATTTATGTCGGGATCAGCAGATAGCATAACGGTTAACATTGCTGGACTCACACATGGCTAACCACGGTTCGAGTCTCAGACCCAGAGTCTTGAAACTCATGCTGAGCCCATGTGCATGCGTGCCCAAAATCCTGAAAGAAGAAAGGAGGAGAAGGGACTGTGGTGTGACCATCTCCCCTAGGGGATGAGTTCTCACTTTCTGTGTCTCTGTTTCTCTCTGTATTTCTGGGGAACACAAGAACCTATAGCAAAAACTCTAAAAACAAAATTACTTATGTCAGAAAAGAAAAAAATTATTTCATGTAATAATTTCACCAAACGAGAGTTTGCTATTAATGAGGATCATAATACTAGTTTTTGTTAGAAGCGAGCCAAAAATCCAGGCCTCAAGAAGACTTCCACTGTAGAGTAATAAACGTTTTGACATATTATATTGCTTCTTCTACATGCCCCAATTTTTTTTATACAATAGCAACTTAAAAATAAACTGTATTCAATAGTGAGGTTAGGTCCCAGTTGCAATATTCTGTAAGTTTTTAAACGATCACAAAAAAGAATCGATAAAAGAATAAAGGTCAAAATAATGCTTAAAAAAATGTTAAACTGGTGCTGACTTAGAAGGCTGTAATTATACAAAACAGCACATTTAAAAAGTATTCACAGTAATATTGCTTTTAATGCCTCCTTAGAGGTCCTAACACTTCAGATGAATAACAAAAAAGGCTTAAAAATACGTGTAACTTAAAAAAAGAAATGACAGATGGAAGGTTGCTGTTTTGCAGGATAAAATATTTTTGTTTTGTTTTTCTTTCTTTCAGAGGCTACGTGGCCCCTCCCACTTGTTCTGTGTCCTGCCTGGTTATTTCTTGATGTTCTCTTTTCAACTGCATCCATCATGCATCTTTGTGCCATTTCAGTGGATCGTTATATAGCCATCAAAAAGCCAATCCAGGCCAATCAATATAACTCACGAGCTACAGCACTCATCAAGATTACAGTGGTGTGGTTAATTTCAATAGGTATGTGGAGAGTTGAGTGGTGCATATAGTCTTTGGTTCCATTTGGCTAGGAGAATATCAGGTCTAGTAGGTTATAATCACAGCATGAGAGGTCAAGGCAGCCTACCAACACAAGCTCCCTGTGTCATTAAATTTATTACATATGTTCTAAACCATACTGTCGGTAAAAAGTGTGCAGAAGCAGCAAAATTTATGTATTCAGAAAGAACCATCTTCGCAGTGTTTACTGAACTATCTTCCTGCCTTTACATGCAGGAAGGCTAAGTCTAAAAACAGTTTTTATATCTGTCAATAGATACTAAAGTTTAGCTAGCATGCAGAATTATGCAATTACATTAAAGTAACAAAATATGATGTACATCTTCAATTACATCTAAGAAGATAAATGGAAAGAGGAAAAAATAAAAACCAATCCAAACACTGTAGGTATCAAAGACTATAAATTCATCTTGGAGGTCAACATTTTTTCTTTTTTGGGGGGAAGTTTTGCCCTAGGGTGTGTGTGCTCACTGGAAAGAGACAGAGACAGTGAGAGGGAAAGCAAGAAATCACCCTCTAGGAGAGATGATCATGCTGCAATCCCTTTTCCTCCATTATCCTCCTAGGATCCTGGGAACACACACATGTACCTCATGTGATTTTAAAGCTACCAAGTCTGGGACTCAAACCACAGCTGGTCATGTGGGAGTTCAGCAATGCAACTTCTGTGCCATCTGCTGGCCCTGGGGGCCAACATGTTAATATGCATACAGATTGTAGATAATTATGTGTCTGTTTAAGTGTTCAGGATATGTTTAAAATTTAATTTACGTTATGCTTGTAATTTTATTTTATTTATTTATTTTAAATTTTTGACCAAAAAGAAAGAGAGAAAGTGAGAGAGCAAGCTGCCAGGTCTGGTACTTGAACCAGTCGCCCATGTGAGTCCAGTGCCTTAACCATCATGCCACCTGCTGGCCCCAGGATATGTTTAAGTTTTAAGAGAGAGTGCAACATGTTAAAGTGAAGTTGAAAAATGATTTATAAAGAAAAAAATCATATTTCTTCTAAATTATTTTAAGCTACTATGCTTGTTTTTAATGTTCAAAGATAGCTGCTATGATATCAAAAGTACTTTGGCATAAAGTACACCTCACATTATGCAATGCTTTTATAAACTTACATCAGAAAAAGATTCAAGACATTACAATGATCTGAGCAGTAGATTCACAACTTCCTAGGAAAAAATTTCAAAGAGGAAGAAAATTAAGAGAACCTAAAATCCAGGACCAGCAGTTGGCATAACGACTACGTCGCTGGATGCCCATGTAGTCGACTGCAGTCTGAGTCCCTGACCCAGTGGCTTAAACTCACGTTGGGCGCATGTGCGTGTGTGCTCAAGATCCTGAGAGGAGAATGGAGAAGGGATTGTGGCGTGACCATCCTGTCTCTCTCTGTCTTTTTGGTGAGAGCACATGCCCTATAGCAAAAAATCTCTACCAAAAAAGAAAAAAGAACCTAAAATGCTAAAAGAAAGACAAGAAAAACATTTTTTGTCTCGATACTCGGAGTAAGAATGCTGGGTCAAGAAAGCAAGACACTGAAATGGGCCTTTATATTCCTGAAACAATGATTCAAGAGCCCAAATCTCTTTTGAAAAGTTTGGAGGTAATAGCAAAATATGTTACTATTCTGGCATGGGAAAAAAGTAGTGAAGAAAAAGTCTATTCAGAATGGAGAGATCTGCAGGTGAGAAAAGGCCAGTTTAGGGAGCAGGGGCTGATTGACAGTGCAGAACAGGCCCCCCAAAAGACGTTATAGTAAGAAGATGGGAGACAAAGGGTGACAGTTAACAAAATCTAAAATAGGAAAATTAAAGTCATTCATGTCGATGACTCATCTTTTTTTGGTAAGCTCACAGCAGCGAACGAAAGAAAAGAGTGCAAGGTGTGTGTATTGGGGTGGGGTGGGAGAGTAGCATATAGACAGGAAAAAAGGAGAAAAGAATCTTTCAGAATCAAAACATATGAAACTGAAATATAATCAAGCCAATAAGGTAAACAGACTGTTGGTAAAAGCAGTATCTAAATTAAGGCTGGTTAACATGAATTAAAAATTTGATCAAAATTTTACTGAGTATCTATTATGTGCTAGGTGTTAAGAATACATAAATAGGGGGACCAGCAGATGGCATAGTGGTTAACTGCTGGACTCCCACATGGCTGAAGGCAGTTCGAGTCCCAGACCCGGTGACTTCAAACTCATGCTGGGTGTGTGTGCATGAGTGCATACCCAAGATACCAGGAGGAGAATGGAAGAGAAGAGGTTACAGCATGGCCATCCCCCCTGGGGGATAATTTCTCCTCTCACTGTGTCTCTCTCTCTCTCCCTAGTGAGCGCACATGCCCTAAAGCAAAAACCTCTCTCAAAAAAAAAAAAAAAAAAAAAAGAGTAAGTAGGGGATGGCAGGTAGTATGGTGGTTAAGGTGCTGGACTCCTACATGACTAACCATAGTTCAAGTCCAAGATGTGGCAGCTCAGTTTCTTACTTTCCCTCTGTCTCTGTCTCTCTCTCTCTCTGATCAAATTAAAAATAAATAAGTAAATAAATAAACAAATAAATAAAATAATTCTTAAAAATACGTAAATAAGAAAAATAATGTTTGCACTTTAGGAAGGTTGATATAGCAACAATTCAGACTATATATGCTCGAGAAAAAAGAATAAAAGGAAGACTCCAGGCTCACAGGTTTGGAAGGGATCTTAGAAATCTACTTCTTTCTTTTATAAAGAAAAAGAAACCCAGAGAATTTAAATAGCTAGCTTAGGAAGTCTTACAACTTTTTAGCACTAAGTCCAAGACCAATACTCTTTTTTTTCGCTATAGGGCGCGTGCGCTCGCCAGACAGACAGAGAGAGACATAGAGATAGAAAGCGAGAAATCACCCCCCAGGGGGGATGGTCATGCCGCAATCCCTTCTCCTCCATTCTCCTCTCAGGATCTTGGGCATGTACACACACGTACCTGGTGTGAGTTCTAGGCCACCAGGTCCGGGACGTGAACCACGGTCAACTACGTGGGAGTCCAGTGACATAGCTATTACGCTAACTGCTGGTTCCCGACCAATACTCTTTTCATTCCATCATACTTTCTTATGAAATCAATCACAATTTACTAACTGAAAAAAAGATCATGCAGATGATAGGGAAATTCAAATTTGAATTTCTTTTTCAAATAAGAGATTTTTGCTATAGGGGATGCATGTACTTGACAGAGAGACAGAGAAATTGAGAAATCACCCTCTGGGGGATAGCCATGCCACAATCCCTTCTCCTCTCTGGATTGTAGGCATGCACGCACACACATCCAGTGTGAGTTTCAAGGCGCTGGGTCCCAGACTCAAACTGTGGTTGGGCACGTCCAGTACCTTAACCACTATGTCACCTGCCAGCCGCCAAATTTGAAATTCTACAAAGTGCTGAAGAGAGCTTACTTTCTTCTTCAGGATTTAGTTATTCTAGGTAACACCTGGAAAGAGTAAGTATGAAAATGGAGTGGATAAGGGTATAAAAACTATCAGTGAAAAAGTAAAGGTTATTGACCAGGAAGTTGGATATGCAAGTAATATGTGCCTTGATAGGTGGATGTGGGGCAGGTGATGAGTATGCAGATCAGAATGCAAAATCAGAAGACAAATGGACCAGAGATCAGTCAGAGGTCAAGATAAAGGAAAGAAAAATTCTCCAATAGTAAAGCAATAAAGGTTTTAGATATGAGATCACTTTAAGTGAACTTCTGGGTGGCTTTAGAGTTGACAAGTTCAAGAAATATAAAATCAGGGTGTAGGAGGGTCATCAACAGGACAGTCATAGAGGATGATGGCACTGCAACAATGGAGAGGAAGAAGCAAGGTACTGAAATTGCTGAGAAAGATGGACAAATGTTCTGAAGGTTGGCAAATAACCAGGAGAAAGAAGGGAGTGGTAAAAGTACATTAAAAAGACTTCAAGGTATTGGGTCATCAGAAAAGTCATGAAAAATGTTTGCACAAAAAAATACGTTATGACTTTTCCGATGACCCAGTACTTTAGGGGAGAAAGAACAGCAGAATGAGGATGTAGTAGTAACAAGGCAGGACAGAGGTCAGCAAACTTTTCCAGTCCAGGGCAGGACAGCAAACAAAACGTCTGCAGCTCTATAAGGCTGCCGTCACAGCTACAAACTCTGCAGCAGCATAACAGCAGCAGCCACAGAGAGGACATTAACACATGCGTGCTCACCAGGGAGAGAGAAAATGAGAAATCACTCCGCAGGAGGGATGGCCACACAACTACCCCTTCTTCCCCATTCTCCTCTTGGGATTTTGGGCACCCCCCTCAAACACACACACATACACACGCTCAATGTGATTTTCAAGCTTCCATGTACAGGACTTGAACTGTTGTCGGCCATGTGAGAATTCAGCATCTCAACCACAATGCCGCTGCTGGCTCCAGGCATGCAACTTTTATAAAAATAGAAGGTAGGCTAAATTTGGCTGTCAAGCTGGAGCTTGCTGACCCTTGGTATAAAACAAGTACACACAATCCTTGTTTTTTAGTAGCGTATGTACATAAGGAAAAGCAGAAAAAGTAATAGCCCCTATTTGCCTTTAAGGAAAACATCCTTGTCAAGGGCTCTTAGCTACATAAAAAGGTTATGTAGATGACAGTGCTTTTGGGTTCATAAAACAACAAATCCTAAAGGGTAATTACTTTAGACATTCAAGAAATATCTGCTACTTCAAAGAGAAAAGATTCAGGCTAACCCTTATATTATTCATACAATAACCTACTTCACCAAACAACATATTTAAATGCCTACGTGTTATATTATCTAAGGTATTAGAAAATTATTATGAGGTACATTTCCTTTATATATATTAGAGGAACTCTAATTCTTGAAAATAAATTTTACAATTCACATGATGTCTCAAATTTTCAAGTAGCAGTAAAAAAAAATGCTAGTTTTCTCTAAGAAGTTAGAAGATTAAAAGACATCCACAAATGCCAAAAGATTAAACTGACTATAAAACAAATTGTGTAACTCAAAGATAATAAAATAGATATTCAGAATTAAGACATCAAATAATGTACTTTGAAGCATCTTTAACTCATCTACATTGGATATTAAGATATGAATGAGTAACTTTTCTCCTTTATTCTTTTTCCTTCAAAAAAACCCCCCAAAAACAAACAGATGGTGAGAAATGTGGAATAAATAAAATTCCCTATATACTATGGAATATTAAAACTTACAGAAGCTTTCATTATAAACCTGAAACCACTAACCCCCCTCTTTTAAAACAAACAAACAAACAAACAAACAAAAAACCCAGCAACTTTGGAGCCAGCAGGATATTAAGGCACTGGATTCCCACACGGCCAACCACAGTTCAAGTTCTGGACCTGGTGGATAGAAAATCACACTGGTTCTGTGTACGTGCATGCCCAAAATCCTGAGAGGGGAATGAAGAAGAGACTGTGGCATGGCCACTTCCTCTAGGCGGTTATTTCTCACTTTCCCTCTGTCTCTGGCAAGCACACATGCCCTATAGCAAAAACTTAAAAACAAAACCAAACAAAAAACCCCAGCAGCTTTGAGCCAGCATCATGGTCTAATGCTTACAGGAGTGGGATCCCACGTGGCCAACTATGGTATCAATCTTGGCCCTGGTGCCTTGGAATACATGATGGGTGCCTGTGCATGAATGCCCAAAATCCCAACGGAATGGTTAAATGGAAGAGAAAGGACTGTGGTGTGTTTTCATCTTAATGGGGGTGTTTTCTCCCTCTTTGGCGCATGCATGTGTCCTCCAGCAAACTATAAAACAACCAGCCAGAAAACAGAGTTGTTTACTTAGATTCTATTTGTCAAATTTTCTATTGATGAATGTTTTTAACAGATTCTTCACTGTAGGCCTCAGGAATTATAACACTAACCAGCATAACGTTACTAGGAAACATCTAAAAGGACCTACTCTAAGAGTTACAGGTCATAGAATTACTCAGTACATCTTGTTTCTTCTTCCTTAGGTATTGCCATTCCAATCCCCATTAAAGGAATAGAAACTGGTGTGGATAACCCAAACAACATCACTTGTGCGCTGACAAAGGAACGTTTTGGCAACTTCATGCTCTTTGGCTCACTGGCTGCCTTCTTTACACCCCTTGCCATCATGATTGTCACCTACTTTCTCACTATCCGCACTTTACAGAAGAAAGCCTACTTGGTCAAAAACAAGCCACCTCAACGCCTAACATGGGTGAATGTGTCCACAGTTTTCCAAAGGGATGAAACCCCTTGCTCGTCACCTGAAAAGGTGGCAATGCTCAATGGTTCTCGCAAGGACAAAACTCTGCCCAATTTAAGCGATGAAAGACTGATGCGAAAGATGTCCGCCATTGGAAAAAAGTCAGTGCAGACCATTTCCAATGAACAGAGAGCCTCAAAGGTCCTAGGGATTGTGTTTTTCCTGTTTTTGCTTATGTGGTGCCCCTTTTTTATTACAAATATAACTCTAGTTTTGTGTGATTCCTGCAACCAGACTACTCTTGAAATGCTTTTGGGAATATTTGTGTGGATAGGCTATGTTTCCTCAGGGGTAAATCCTTTGGTTTATACGCTCTTCAATAAGACATTCCGAGATGCATTTGGCCGATACATTACCTGCAATTACCAGGCTACAAAGTCAGTAAAAACTCTTAGAAAGTGTTCCAGTAAGATCTATTTCCAGAACACAATGACAGAGAACTCTAAGTTTTTCATGAAACATGGAATTCGAAATGGGATTAATCCTGCCGTGTACCAGAGCCCAATGAGGCTCCGAAGTTCGACCGTTCAGTCTTCATCAATCATTCTACTAGATACTCTTTTCCTCACTGAAAATGAAGGTGACAAAACTGAAGAGCAAGTCAGTTATGTATAGAACTGGCACAGTTTTTGTCTAACTAATGTAATGATGAATAAGATGATTAACTAGATGTAAATGTACTGAGAATTATCTAAAGAAAAAAATCTAGGTCATGTTTCAAATCATCTCTTTAAGTATTAATATTATCCAATTTTCCTTATTTGAACAAAATTATTCTATTAATAAAATGATTTTATATAGCTACAAATAAAATCAATCCAGTACTCTGGTTAGTTATGTTCTTCAAATGAAATAAAATTAATCAATAAATTTCAGACTTTAAGGCACAGGTAGAGCAATGACAATAGGATAAGAGAGCACAAGGAAAAAACACAAGCACACAGAATGATGACCACATCTGGAGGTGAGTTATGATCACCACTTACAATCAGGTTTAGTTATTAAATGTAGTCAAGATTTTCCTTTCCAAATGTCTTGACGGAAAGGGTTAGAACAGTAGCTGGATATCACACATAATAACAGGGTCTTGAAACTAGAGCTGTTTGTTAAATGGCTGAGACCCATCTGCTCAGCAGAGACAGGTCTACAGCAGAAGAGGAAAGCAAATGAAATCATTTCTGGGTATATGAGCCATACTATGTTCCGTACATATTTTAATGAACATACATGACCTGAAAGCACAGGACCTCATCTGGGGACCTAATCTTTAAGTGGCTGCCTGCCTGTGCTTGCCCAATGACTCAGCTGAACTTCTGATACAGAATTCACCCATTCATTTGGCACTATTAAGATCTGGAAATCAGTCCAACCCACGACACAAAGCTCACTAAATTTAGGAAAGAAACTTAATTTCTTTGAGCCTCAATTTTCTCTTTCTTTCTTTTTTAAACTTTATTTATTCATTTTAATTTGACCAGAGAGGAACAGAGTGAGAGAGAGGAAGGAGAGAAAGTAAGCCACCAAGTCTGGGATGCGAACCATGGTTGGCCATGTGGGAGTCCAGTGGCCTTAACCACCTTGCCACCTGCCAGATCCCTGAGCCTCAATTTTCTATATTTAGTATAGTTATTATGAGGATGCACACATAGTGGGCACTCAGTAAATGACAGCCTACTGTATTTATTTTATATATGTATGTATATATATATAAATTTATAATTTTAATGATACTCATACAGATGGTAAACAAATTTAAGCTGAGGGAGTACGCAATAAAGACAACCCACACCTTAATTTTTCCTTTTCAGGTTTACCCACTTTTATGCCTCAACTTGTTGCTCTATTACTGTTCCTTTTCAGGCCACTCGGTTTAGGATAATTACCTTAAGATGTATGTGGCTCTGGAGAATCTCAGCATAAGTAAAACAAGCATAGATTTTCCCAATGGCAGGATCCTTTCCTAGAATGTGGTTCTCCTAGCAGCTCCTGATCTGTTACTGTTTCTTTTGGGTTCTGTATCTATCATCTGTCAGGAACAGTAAGTGTATCTTACAATTTAATTCCTAAGTCATCAAAGCTTTAGTCTAAGATTCTTCAGCAGTAGTAAAAGAACTATAAAAAGGTAAAATAATTTACATCCCTGAAGAAAAAAAAAAAGAAAAAGTAATTTTCTACTTTGCTTCCAGTCTCTAATATAATGTGTTTGGCGTATATTAAGATCATATTCTTGCTAAGGTAAGTAAGATTGTTAAGTTCAGATATCACTGTGAGAATATCCTAAATTCTGTATTTTATGTATCTAAAGCAAACATAGTTGCTTCAGGAAATCTAAGTACTAGAGCTGACAATTACAGTGCCATAGGCCAACCAATGGACAATCTATTAATAGCTCAGAAGAACTATCTTCTCACAAGCTCTGTACTTCTTCCAAATTTGTGCATGTGCTTAAACGTATGCATACCTACAAAATTAATCATAATACTTGTAAACTATTCAGCTTTAAATATTTTCTTAGAGGTTTTTGCTCTAGGGTGCATGCACTCACCAGAGAGAGAAAAAGAGAGAGAAACACACACAGAGAATGAGAGAGAAAGTAAGAAATCATCCCCCGGGGGGGATGGCCATGCCGGTCTCTTCTCCTCCATTCTCCTCCTGGGATCTTGGACACTCATGTACATGCGTCTGATGTGATTTTCAAGCCCTTGGGTCCGGGACTCGAACTGTGGTTGGTCACATGGAAGTCCAGTGATGTAACCACTATACCATCTGCTGGGCCCTAACTTTAAATTATTAAAAAATAAACCTCTGCTTACAATTACTAAAAGATCTTTCTACAGTTAATGATCGTTCTAGTATTTCCAGAATATTCTAGAAAATGAAATATAACTTCAATGACAACTATTTCAGAAAAGTACACATAGCACCAATTTTTTACATGATACGTAACTTATATTTCCACTTCAGGAATACGCTAATTAAATCTGTAATTTGAAAGGAAATCTCAGCAATTAAACATCCCTAAGGTAACAGAAAGACTGTATTTAATAGTCATACCTTCAAAGAAAAGGAATAGGTTGTCACTGTTTAGAATGATTTTAGGAAAAGAAAACTTCCATTCTATTCCATATTACTGTCAATTAATGGAGAGGAAAAAACAAAGATGTAGAAAAACTAATGAAAAGATGAACATAAGGAAGTCACAATACCTAGAACATAAACACAAAGATACTGAGGCAGAAATAGAGAACAATGTATAGGAGAAAAAAAAGAGACATCAAAAAGTTCATGAAAAATTGGAATTAGAGTGTAAGTTTTTTTTTTTAAAGAATTTTATTTAACTTTATTCGTTTATTTATTTAAATTTGACTAGAGAGGGACAGAGCGAGAGAGAGAGAGGGAGAGGGAAAGTGAGAAAGCAAGCCACCAGGTCTGGGACTTGACCCATGGTCAGCGATGTGGGAGTCCAGCATCTTTAACCACCATGCCACCTGCCGGCCCCTAGAGTATAAGTTTATTTTGTGCAAAAATTTTTACTGCATAGTTTTTTCATAATTTGCATATTCATGAACTTTTTATACTATAAGGCACATGTATGTGTGTGTGAAAAGAGAGCACACATACAAAGACTAGAATATGTCCCTCCCCAATGAAGCCTGGTCACACTGCAATCCCCTTTCCCCTAATTCCGTAACCCAGTGAGATGCTGGGCACACACGCAGATGCCAGTGTGCTGTGATTCAAACACCAGTCAACTACATGGGATCTGGCTTCCTCCCTGCACTGTGCTTAACCACTGTGCTGTGGGGCTGGCCCTCACCAACTTTTCAAAGACTCCTCAAATAGATCCAATTGATATACATTGTGAAGGGACAGTTTGTAAAGACAAATTGTGCATTTGGTGGTAATTGGTTGTTGTAGGGTTACTTCCAACTATAAAGATCTACAATAACACAACATTTTGATATTAAAGGAACTGTTTTGTGTGGTCCAAAAAATATCTGCACCAAGAATCTTTCACTCATCAGGACCAGTAGATGGCATACTGGTTATGAACTCGCTGAACTTCCATGTAGTCGACTGTGGTTCAAATCCTGGATTCAGTGGCTTTAAACTCAAGCAGGGCATGTGTGTGCATGCCCAAAATCCCAAGAGGAGAATGGAGGAGAAGGGACTGTGGCACGCCCATCCTTCTTGGGGAGTGATTTTTTGCTTGCTGCCTCTCTCTCTGTCTCTCTGGCAAGCATAAATGCTCAATAGCAAAAATCTCTCTTACAAAAAACAAAAGAATCTTTCACTCATTGGAGGCTAGCAGAGAGTGTGGTGGTAAAGGCACTGGACTCCCACATGGCTGGCTGTGGTTTGAGTCCCAGACCAGGCAGCTTACTTTCTCATTTTCCCTGCCTCTCTTTCTCTCTGTCTCTCTGGTGAGCACATGAGCTCTAATGCATATTTAAAATAATAATAACAAACAAAATAAATAATTTTAAAAAGAGAATCTTTCACTCATCTTACAAGATGAAAATACATAAATGTATACATTGAGAAACATCTATGTTATAATAGCCTAAACCACAAGGAACTAAGAATATCCAAGATCATTGAATTTTTTAAAAATCCTATTCAGATTTTAACTTGTTCAACATTATAGCAACTAAATTTCAATAAATATATAAAGACCTTTGACTTCTTTACTTCTCTTTCCAATGTTAAATTAAAATAAATCTGATTTTATTGATATTCATTTCCAGATGAGTTTCAATGCCAAGCACAGCACTATATAAAGAGTTGTTAGAGGGCCCAGCAGTTAGCGTAATGGCTATGTCGCTGGACTCCCATGTAGTCCACTGTGGTTCAAGTCCTGGACCTGGTGGCTTAAACTCATGCCGGGTGCGTGTGTGTGCATGCCCAAGATCCCAAGAGGAGAAAGGAGGAGAAGGGATTGTGGTGTGGCCATCTCCCCTGGGGGATGATTTCTCGCTTTCTGTCTCTGTCTTTCTCTTTCTGGCGAGTGCGCATGCCCTATAGCAAAAACCTCTCCAAAAAAAAAAAAAAAGAGAAAAACGAAAAGTATCAGGTTCATTTCAACTTAGCAAGAATAGTTTTCAATTTACTTTTTTATTTTCCTTTTTAAGTCTATTCACTCATCCACGAGAAACAGAGACAGGTACCCCCAACAGTGCCTTTCACGTCATGATCTACTCCGAGTCCTCACTGGCCTGAAAAGTTCACAAAGGTTCTTATATACAAACCCTGAAGCTCCCCATGTGGGTGCAGTTGCATCACCACTTAGTCTCTGACATTTTGCTTTCATCATAAGCATTAAGAACAAATAGCAGCCTGTGAATATCATAAGAGAGAGAATCATGAAAATACTGTAATTCCCTCGACTATCCTATGAATAAAAAAAAATGTTGTAGGTGAGATTTTCATATAGTTTTGTCTTAGTTATTAAAGTACAAGTGTTTACTAATATATTATATATTCAGTATTCATATGTAATAAGTATACCTAAAAAGAAGTTTAAAAAAAGTAAGGCCAGCAAATGGCATGGAGACTAAGGAGTGGAATCCCAAATGGCTGACTGCAGTTTGAGTCTCTGACCTAGAGGCCAGAAAATCACATCGGGAGCATGTATACACATGTGCCCCAAATCCCAGAAAGGAGGAGAAGGGATTGTGGTGGGTCAAGCCCCAGGAAGTGATTT